GCACTAGCACTATCTACAGTAATGGTAAAAATCTTCTCAATACCCCACCCCAATCCATCAAACATTTCACAAATTCTCTTGCAATGGTCTCCCTCTTATGGTTCGATATAGGGTTGAAACTAATTATTTTCCTCTACAAACACCAATTTCCATCTATAAAATGAGCAGTAATAACCATATAGCCATTGTATTGAAATCCAAATATTCATCGTAAAAGATACCCTCTGCTTGTTCTCATTCAACATGTTCTTCATAGCAAACTAGTAAATTTCTCTTATCAACAAATGCAAAAGACAATTTGTCCATTATAATCATCCTAACCAAAGCTCTTTTGCATGCCTCTTGACTAAACCTAAGGACAATAATTAAGTTTAGAATCTCCTACTACATAATGATTTTTGGTTAAAGTTTTATGAGATCCACTTTCAGAGAGATTCTTGTACACCTTGCAAATCTTCTGAATATGATTTCTTAAACTGCTTGTACCTATTGATGAACATCCTATCAATATAACCCACAATAATTGAAAGAACACTTCTTTGGGTTATCGGGAAACTTGGTAAAATGATTCTATACATTCGATCTCGCTGGAATTATCCTCTTTGCTTTTGGAGGTAATTGTGAATTTGAAGGTGATTCTTTTCTTTTGTCAATCGATTCTCTATACCTTAACTAATTCTGAATATTGATTTTCCATATGTTGAAAAAAATATAGAGTTAAAAATCAACAAATATAACATAATAACCTATCGAAATACTCTTTTAGTTTGATCCTAGTTTGATCAAAATTTTCGGAGACCGAGAAACACACAACAATCTATACCTAACTTCCAATCGATCGAGTCGACAACACACAACAAAAAGTTTCTGGAGTTTTTCAGAGTGAATACCTAGTTGGATGGAGACTTGAAGGAAGATCAGAAGTAGAGAGCGAGGTGTACACGAGCACTATTACAGTCTCATAAAGAGTCAATGAAGAGATGCAGAGGGAGAGGAGATCGACGAGGAGAGATTCAGAGAGAGAGGAGACCGGCGACGAGAGATGCAGAGAGAGAGGAGACCGACGACTAGAGATGCAGTGAGAGACGAGACCGGCGACGAGAGATGTAGAGAGTGACAACTCAGGCTACGGGCTGGAAGGATTCGATTCGAGCTTGAAGAAGATGCAGAGAGTGATGGCTCAGATGACGCAAACCTCAGAAGCAAACATCGACGACGGAGGGGACGAATAAATTGACAGTCACGAAAGAAGCAGAGCTTGGCTTCGGTCGGCAATGGGAAGTTCAGGTGGAGCTCCTGAGTCTGCAGAGATGGAAATATGGTTGTTGACAGATTAAACCCTGAACCTAAAATTAATTAACCTAATTTTTATTTAATTTGGTTTAATTGAATAACCGATACCGATCAGTTTATTCACCCGAATCGAACCGATCTGATCGGTTATAGGATTATGATACCCGATCGGTTATTTTGCAAAATCTGAACCGATCCAAAAACCGATTAATCGGATCGGTTTTACCCGAACCCGATTAACCCGATCTGATTGTCCATCCCTATTTCTAATGATATAGAGAACGCATGATTTGGACTCATAGAGTGAATGTTATTGGACATGCAATATCTAACTTCTCCGAGCTTCACGTTTTCTTCTCAAAACTGTTCCAAATGTTCTTGTTTCGTCCGTGATGTTCCGTAATTCATGTTTTCCACTCTTTTTGCTCTCTATTATAAATGAATACTTATTTAAACACCAAAAAACACATCATCCAATATCGAAACCGAATGTGCCCTAGAATGTCTACAAGTGTGTAAAATACACTAGACAACTTATATTAAATCATCACACAAAATACGTGTTATCAAATACTCAACAACCTCGGCCCCCTTATCGCTAATGAATTCAATGAGTGGTCCGAAATCTATCCATACATCAAAACAAAATAGAGCAGATTTTCCATCCCTAATTGAAAATTTGAGAAATTGCCTTGCTATGCCTTCATAATCTTGGACTCGGGACGGAGATCCTATATTTTTATCGGTTATGCATAATCATAATCTCGGACATGTATGGTTTTTAAAATAATGATTGTAATGCTTTGTATTTCGTTGCATTATTTTATTGTTTATTATTCATGTGATATGACCTGTATACGAAAGTGGGTTACGGGTGTCATAGAACCAATTATGACCATTGGATGCGATGACGAGTCGGCTCGGTGGTTATGACTCGTCTTCATCATCAGTGATGCAACACATCTCCCTCTCAAGGGAAGTCGAAGAGCTGAAGCAGAAGCATGATCAGACTACGGCTGAGCTTTAAACTTCTTGGGAGCAGATCGACGCATTTGTCGAAGCGCAGGCAAAGCTAACTCGACTAGAGGAGATGATGTAGCATTTCATGCCTTCATTCGAATCAATCTCTACTGCAGCTTCAACTCAAAGTCTGGCATCTCCTTGTAACGATCGTGATCTGTCCGTTAATCTTGAGAAAAATAGCATACAAATACCTAAACTTTTTTTAAAATCTCACATAAAACCGAACTATAAACTTCCATATATATACCCGAACTTTTAAAAATCCTATATAAATACCTAGACTTTTGAAAAAATTTCTAAATAAATACAAATTTCAGGTATTTTTCAAATAAAAATAGGTGATGTCATTAATGGATTTTGGGTTTATTTGAGAGTTTTTTAGAAGTCTATATATTTATATAGGATTTTAGAAAAGTTCAGGTATTTATATAAAAATTTTATAGTTCAGGTATTTATCTAAGATTTTCGTAAAAGTTTATATATCTATATGTGATTTTTCTTTAATCGTGACACCCCGTAGACCTCCAAATTAATTTTCTAGATAATTTATTTAACTAATTTACTGTTTTCTAAATTGAAAACAAATTTTATTTTAATTTTAATATTATTTTCTTTAAATATGTTTTTTTTTAGTTTTAAATTTTCTTTTTTAAAATTTTATATTTTTATTCAATTCAGCTACGTGATGGAAAGGAAAACTCTGTCTAAATTTTATCGTACGAACCGACAGTGCGTTTCATCGCAACCAGCAATAAACAATTTCATCTGTATATCTGTAGCATGTATGACGGATAATTCCGTCGACTATTTCGTCGCACGTGGAGTGGATATATCCATCAGCATTTGTGTCGCAAGTGCAACGGATAATTCCATCTTTCAGACATTGCTTGTTGCGATAGATTGACGACTGATTTTGTGGTTGCGCTCTGCGACAGCTTCCGACTACTCTTCCGTCGACGAACCACCTACTGCTCATGTGTCGTGAATTGCGACAAAGTTGCGACCATTAATTTGGTCATCTCAATATACAACGAAATTAAGTACTTTCGATTGATTGTCGACTGCTTTTTGTCGTTGCAAATTGCGACAGATTGCCGACTAGTTTGGATTTGCGGCAGCGCTGTACCGTCAGAACCCTTTCTGTCGCAATCCATCGCAAACCTTCAATTACGACGTATTTCTCTTCTACGTGCGACAGATATTTCCGTCGCAATAGACAATGATTTTTGTAGTGGTTAGACTTTACATATTTATTCATAAATTTCCACTCTGATATCTGATTTGCATGATCTTAGCATTTATACATATCTATTAAAATTATATTTCTAATGACATAGATAACACAAGACTTGGATATCGTGGACTTACAATGTCTGGTTTTGAATATGTATCGAGAGAATTATTGAACTTGTAATATCTAGTTTTGAAATAAACGAATTCTAATTTAGTTGAGCTGGTGAAGTGAGAAATTAAATCTAATTTTCTATAAGGTGGGATCAGGTCGAGATTTTTAGTATACTCGAACCCTGATTTAAATATTTCGGATGTTAATAGGATAAAACCTATCTTGTGCTTATCCGATTTTTACAAACCCAAAAATTATCTCGGGTATTGCGATTACCCAAATTCGGAAAAAACAATTTCATTTTTTTTAGAATATATACCATTAAAAGTTATAAATTGCAAAATCGTAAATTATATATAAATATTAAAAATAAGAGAGAAAAAGGGTAGGGATGTTAATCATAGGGAGGAGAAGGAAAAAACATTTAAACTAGGTTATTTTTAATTTCCTAAAATTCTAAGGGTATAATCGTCATTTTAATGTGGATCGGGCATAGGGATGTCAAAACGAGCCGAGCTCGCGAGCCGGTTCGAGGTTGGCTCCTTTTTTACCGAGTCGAGCCAAGAATATCTGAACCCAAATAAAAATGGGCTGAGTGAGCCAGCTCGCCACGAGCCGAGCCCAAACGAGCTAGCTCGGCTGGCTCGCGAGCTGGAGTAAAAAAAAAAAATTACGTTGAAACTTGAAAGTGTTGATATTGTTGGTATGATATTTTGATTTGGAGATAATTTTTTTATGTATAGATTCGGATCTGAAGATGGATTAAGATCTAATTGTATATGGATGAATTAAGATTTGAAAATGGTTTTTTGTACATGGATGAATTATGATTTTATCTATTTGAAAATGATTTTTTATATATAGCTTGTGATTGCGAATATAAGTATGATTTGGATGTATTGGTATGTTCTTTTTATATTGATATATCATTTGGATATGATTTTATATAATTTGATATGATTTTTTTAGGTATTTAGAAAAATATGAGCCGGCTCGGGAGCCGGCTCACGAGCTAAACGACTTTGGGTGAGCCAGGAATTTTCTAGCCCAAATAAAAATGGACTTAACGAACTGGGCTGAAAATGAGCTGGCTCGAAACGAGCTGATCCGAGCTGATCCGAGCCGACTCGTTTGACATCCCTAATCGGGCATCCACAGATAAAATTACGTGAACCTGAACCCAAATTTCTGAGTTTTATACACTCTACTACCCAATCTCTATCTCGTTGCAAGGCGAGTATCCACAAGTCGGATGCCCAAAATTTTGGGTTATTTTGGCGATCCCTATTTTCTATAGAAGACCACAGAATTGAAATCGTATAATTTCACAAGAAAAAAGTGTTCGGCATTGACGCTTCTTTATTCGGATAAAAATAAAAGCATAGCATAGGAACCAACAAATCCTGGCTACAGCAACAACAAGGCCCCTCAAGAACCCTAATTTCACCTCTCAATCCCATCAATGGAAGCAGTGTCCAACTTCTACGCTACAAAGAGTACGAAAGTCGATAACTTTCTTCTTCATATCAAAAGATTTAATCCACATTATATTTATATATTCAGGCAAATTTCGTCAGTAGAACCGTGAGCCAGAGTCGTAAACATTCCCACCACCAGGAAACTGACCTCTGGAATTGAACCCGCGATCTCTGGTGCCACCCTGAAACCGAGCCCTCTCTGCGAACTGATCCGAGCCATAGGGTCTGGACGGTGCATCGGCCACGACGGCAACTGGATCTTGAACATTGCCAATGTAGCTGTGGGGATGAACAGGTGGCATCGGTTCACGTTGATACTGCTCCTCCTTCATCACCGCTATTGCTTGCTGGTTGTATTTTTGCTGACGAGATTGCGATTCTTTCCTCAGGATCTCGTCTCTCTTAGCTGCATGTCGTGCCCTGAGAGCATCTAACTGTTCTTGATACCGGGCATTAATTGTGTTTATCTTCTGAAAATGGGCAAAAAAAAAAAGAAAAACTAAAGATCGAGAAATTCATCAACTGGGCAATCATCAAATCATTTTTACAGCGGAAAAGATCACGAACCTCTCTATGTCTGGCAATCTCTGCATCCTCAGCTTCAATTTGCTCCTTTGCTAATCTCGTTATATCATCCATGAACTTCTGTTCAAGGCCTTCGAAGGTCTGCACATAACCGATATTCGGGTCCTCTTGGAGAGATTGGGCCCTGAGGTCACTTCCCTGCTTCTCCATTCCCACTTTCGGCTCCATTTGGTTCCGATAATACGATCTTGACGAATCAACAGCTTGAGCTGCACAAAAGACAACGAAAACCAGAATCAAGATACGGGCAGCCCTCAACTCAGAAAACATATGTATACACAATTATGGGCCACATTCAGAGTTATGTATATATTACATATAAGGAAGGAATCTTGTAACGTTCCCATTGAGTCCCCACAAGCTTCTAGACCCCAATTAATATACAACTAGTATCTTCCTCATATAGATTTTACAAATAAGCCAAGTCTTTTACCTTCGTTGTAAATGGATGACGTCATTAGCCTCGACGACATATTCGGACCTTCTCGTTCCCATCTCCATTGGCCATCTGCTTGTGAATCGGAATAGGGTTGCTCCCTCTCGGGCGTGAAAGCCTCTAACTGACCTTGAAAATCCGAGTGTGTATTATGATCCATCCGCTGGCTAGATTGGTTCTGTATCTGTTGCCCGGCCAGGAATGCGCTGGCTACTGGTTCCGCGAAGTTTCCTTGCCTCCTCATAATAGCCTGCTTCAAGACCGACCTACTCGATGAGCATAACTTGATAATAAGAATCGTCCATAAGGCATATGACCAAAGCAAAGACCAACCAATAAATAAAAAACACGAAAACGTTAGCCAGATGAGATTAATCTGAAATGTCGCCTTCGTCTCATATTGACTTATCGTATCAACGGAAAAGGGCAATCAGTATCGTAGATCATCCTGCAGAAACAATCCAAAAAATCCCATTTTCTCTTTTTCTTTCCTTCTTGAAATCGGTAACACAGAGCATACGCATACACTTACCAAACTTCATAGACGTTATAATGCCTTTACAATGTCACAAAGCCAAACCGACACCTCTCCTAAAAGGCATTCAACGAGCACATTAAGGCTCCAGGGACTACACCAAAGGAAACCAGACAAAATCCCCACCTCCCATAACAATTTTGCTACACATTTGGCAAAACTCCAACTGCAGAACTTTGAAGTACCATTTAAATTTGCAAATCCTCTAAGTAACAAAAACATTTCAGACAAATTCTGATACAAGCCCCACATTCCCCTCGAGGGAGAGAAAAATACCCAGAAAATTTTCCAACCAGCTGTGTTCACAGGAAAACAGCGCATACACGGACAACACTTGACCAACAACACAGACACAGATGTTTAAGTGCAAAGGGGTTAACTTTAGATCAAAAGGTCTTGAAAACTGAAGAGTATCACAAACTCAGAATCATCTTCAACCTCCGTCTGAGCCAAAGTACCAGAGACAGAAGAAGAGGGAAGGAAAGAAAACAGGTCGAGCCGAACGATCATTATTGAAGTCCACGATCAGAAATATCCAAAACCCTAGATACTGATCCATGGAAAAATTCACGGCAGAATAAAAAAATCAAGCTAAACGATAGCCTAAGAGATAGAGTGAAAGAGATTATCAAAAACCGTGAAATTACCAGTACAAATAGGTCACTCGTAGCTCAAAATGTCCCGCTTGAGGAACATGGAGGGTGATGGAGCTACGGACAATAGCAATGGCACCCCCGACAATAGAACGATTTCGAGTTCTAAATTTTTCGGGCCGGGTAAGCAATTTTATGTCCGGATCGATGTCGGGTCGGATCTTTGCCATCCGATATAGAACGCTAATTTTATTTTATAGCTGTCCGTAGTAACATTAACAACTTTTTCATTAAACTTCAATAATTTGTTTTAAATATATTTTTTAGAAACAAACTCCAACTAGACATTGAATTCCCTCACGTTTATCCGATTCCAAATCGGAACAAAGGAGATGAATTGCGGTAAGTGACAAATAACATAAACCCTAATGTCATATATTTCATACAATGTCTAGTTGTAATTAGAGTTTTAGGTAGGAATAGATAAGAAACAGTTTTACAAGAAGTGTAAGCATATTTCAGTGGAACCAAGTGTTAGAGTAATACATGGAATATTAGTATGTTTACAGAAAAATTGATGAAACTTCTCGATAAAATCAGTAAATGAGGGTGAATATTGTTTTCATCCAAGAAACTAAATAGACAGGATAGAAAAGTAAAACAAAAATTAGAAATACAGATTTTAGATTGTGGTACACGGGATAACAACGAAGTAGAAATGGAATAGGTATTATTATAGATATATCTTTGAAAGATGTGATGGTTGTAATAAAAAGAGTAGGAGATGTGATCATTCTAGTTTAATTAGTCAATTAGTCATAGAAAGAGAAGTTATCAATGTGATTAGTCTCCCAAGTAAAATTAATTAACGAGTGTAAATAAAAAGTTTTGGAAGAATATGTACAACCTCATGAAAAATGTATTGTTGAGAGAATCTATTTTTTTTATCGGCGGTGATTTAATTATGTAAAAAAAGATCGACAAGAATATAAAAGAGTATATGAAAATTTTGGCTTTGGAAGTAGGGATGAAGAAGGTACTTGATTTTGCCACGTTTTATAATTTTCAAATGAGTGAATCAAATTTATTGACCTTCAAGAATGGAAAAAATCGACTTACTTCCTACAAGAAAGTCGAAACATACTCTATTCAATGATTGCAAAGTTATCTCGAATAAATTTTTAACTAGTCAATATAGGTTCTTGATGTTAGATGTCAACTTTAGAAAACATGTTTGATGATATTGAATTCTCTATATTTTCACATAGGTTGTCTTGTGTTTTTTCAAAAGTGACACATTTATAGATATTTTAGATCATATAGGCTTGTATATCGCTTTGTTTTATTTTGTAGTGATATAATAGGTATAAGTAAGTATTTTGGCATTAGAAACATAAACACAGATTTTGGAACTTAATTAGACAAAAATGGGAGAGTTTGAGCGCTTCAGAATCATCTCAAAAGAAATTCGGACCAACAAATGGATAATTCGATCGAGCACATGAAAATTTGGCAGAAGAAACAATTGAGCATTGCTTAGCCGGCAGGGGCGGACGCACGTTAATGACAATAGGGGCAAAGACCTCCGTTGTTTTAATTAAAAATAAATAAATTTTCTTTGTAAATCTTTATAAATTTATAAATAAACTTTGAAATGCCCCCATATTATAATAGAAAATTTATGTTTGCTCCCTAATAAACATTTTTATACGGTCGCCATTGTAGTCGGACACTCAAACGTTTGACCAGAGAAAAGTCGAACATCGACCATATCCAAACGAAAAATTCAGGCGAAATCCGAGCAATCCATGCTTGACCGAGCGTCGTCCACAAAAAAAAAATATAAAAGTCATCTGACACAGGGATCGGACGCACTGCACACAAGAAGTTGAATTAGAGTCCAATTGATCACTAAAAATTAAGTAATATATCTATCCCCAATCTTTTGTGTTAACTGCATAGACGTGAGTCTTCTACTTCTCATTACATACAAGAAGTTGAACGTGGATGAACTTAAATCAATCCCTAAGATCCTACGATCGGATGATCAATTAGTTAAACATCTAGTAAAAAGTTTAGAGAATGTACCTTTAAAGATAGGTAAATTCTATATATGAATCGATTTTATCGTACTTGAAATAGACATTGATATGCACACACCTATCATTTTGTGACGTTTATTCCTAAATACACAGATGACATACATAATCATCTATGTTAATGAGATGAATGTGTAGAATTTATTTTTAATCAGCAAGATATATAACCGATCTAACAAGATGAAAACAATAAAATTCTGTCTGTAACAATGTTCGTAGACCCCATGACATGATCTAATGCGACCCACATCGAATATTAAATTTATAACCCGATTCAAGCAGGCGCAGATGGCCGGCTCGCGACGGCGTCACATAACTTCGGATTAAATGACGGAAATGCCCTTATTTTCTTGACAATTACGACTGAGCGGTGGGGTCAAATGCAAACAGAAAAAAACAAATCAGTCTTTTCTGTCATCTCCTCATGTGATCTGTCCTCGTCACTGTGAGAGAGGAGATTTCTTCCTCCTTCGGATCAAAATCTGAAAAGTCTCAGTCTCAATCTCAAGAAATTTCCCAGAAATCTCTAAAATCCTCACGTCTCTTTCCGAGTCAAATCCGCTGATAATCTTCGAGAAATTTCGATTTTCTCATATTCAGAATCGCCATTGTTTCCGGTTTTCATATGTGGAAGTTGGAGGTCTCCTTCTCTTTGTTCGTTTCCTGAAATTCCGATTCCTGAGATGGGAAATTTCGGCGACTCATCTGCGGAAATCCCTAATTCCTCCGAATCCGTAAAACCCAGAAGTTGAGGAATCCTAAGACCATGGTAAATCCCGGTGCATTCCCGTAGATTTCCGATATTGAGGGTAATCTGCTGAGACTTGATCCGAAGTTCATCGATTCAAGGATTTCTGATATTTCAAATGTTGTCCAGCCAATTCGTTCTCTCCTTCTCTCTCCTCCTCTGTCTCCCTGTCGTTTTCTTCCTCGTGGCGCCATGTGTCATCCCTCCTCCTCCCGGCGACTCCCTCGTCGCCATCTCCGATGAGATCGAAGACTAGAGCCTCTTTCACCGCGCCGCCGCTGTCTCCTGCTCCTTCTCACACCTCTCTTCCGGGAGCCCTAACCCGAAGCTTAAGATCGCTTTCCTCTTCCTCACCAACTCCGACCTCCATTTCGCGCCAATCTGGGATCGCTTCTTCTCGGGCCAATCACACTCCCTCTTCAATGTGTACGTTCACGCGGATCCCTGCGTGAACATCACCAGACCCGGTAATGGCTCCGTGTTTGAGAACACCTTCATCTCCTATGCCTACCGAACCGCACGCGCCTCCCCGACTCTCATCTCCGCCACGCGCCACCTCCTTGCCACCGCCCTCATCGACGACCCGACGAACTTCTACTTCCTTGTGCTCTCTCAGTAGGGCATTTTACTCGAATGAACGAGCATTTTACTCGAATGAACGAGTTGGGTTGCACGAATTTCAGAGGTACATCATCGAAAACATAACCTATTAAATTTTTTTGAAAAGACAATATTACCCTTAATGAATCCGGGTAATTTGTTCGTTCGAAAACAACTTTGTTATTGCGACTTCATAATTAGTTCTAAATACAGTTGCAATTGATTATAAACAAGGTACATAGGAAATGAGACTCAATTTTTCTTTTTACTGCGAATTTCTAAGCCGTTTTTTTTCACTCATATATAACTATCAAATTTCCTTTATTAACATTAATCCGAAAGAGAAATATATATTCAATTCTTTCAACTTATTTGTCTAGAAGGAAAGGAATAGGAAAAAGAAAAGTTTATGTTTCCACGATGACAAAAAAAATATCTGTCAAATTTTAAAAATAACTACGTTTTTTTTTTTTGCACTTTCATTTCCATACGATCATAACTACTTCTTATTTTAGTTGTATATTAGTTATATGTTAATCGTAACAAAATTGTAAAAAAATGAAAAAAAAAATTATTTCGGATTTTTTCAATCAAAAAGTGCGTTGAAATTTTTTTTTTGTTTTTTTGGGTGATGTACTAGCGGAATTCGTGCCCCAGGTGAGTCATTAGAGTAAAATGCCCCTCTCACTACTGCGTTCCTCTCTCCATTCCTTCCGCTACGTCTACCACTCGTTCTTGACTCCTCAACCTTCGACAGATCCGACCCGGATCCGACACCGACGCCGCGAAGGGTCCGGGTCTGGTACCGGAGCTTCATCAAGATCATCTCCGAAGAGCCTCGGCTTTGGAAACGATATATTGCTAAGGGAAGGTACTCGATGATACCGGAGGTCCCGTTCGAGAAATTCCGGGTGGGCTCGCAGTTCTTCGCCATGACACGGAGACATGCGCTGTTAACCATCAAAGATCGAACCTTGTGGAGGAAATTCAAGCTGCCGTGTTATCGAGACGACGAGTGTTACCCAGAGGAGCATTATTTTCCGACATTGTTGAACATGAAGGATCCGGGTGGGTGTACCGGGTATACCGTGACCCGGGTCAACTGGACGGATACTGTGAAGGGGCATCCGTACACCTACAAGCCGGAGGAAGTTTCGCCGGCGCTGATTCGCCAGCTCCGGCGATCAAACCGCTCAAGCTCCTACCTTTTCGCGCGTAAGTTCACACCCGATTGCTTGAAACCGTTGTTGGACATTGTAGACTCGGTGATTTTCAGAGATTCGAGGAGATTCTCTTGTTTCTGGTAAACTTGTTTCTTTCTCTTCCATGTAGAGTTTAAGTTTTCGTGGGTTACTTTCTTGAGTCTAATCCAGATGGATTGCAGCAAGGAAAAGCTTTCTATACCCTAAGGATGTCTTTGAAATCCACATTTTCCTTTCTATCATTTAGTAGTTTGAGTGATATTTCTTTTTTCAGTTTGATTGGATTTCATTCGAATAAAAGAGACAAAAAGTGTTGGGCTCTGAACCAAATCTCAGATCTTTTCTTCGTTTTTTCAGGGAAGAATATGGCATTTTCTCCACTGCGAACGAAGTGGGATGAGGAAAAAGAGTAGAGATGGGGAAAGTAAACTAAGGACCATACGGAACACCAAAAAACAAAAACAGAGACTTGTACAGAAATGGCCTAAATCACGAATCATTCGCTCTGTCGACCAAAGGAATTAGCAAAGTTGTAATCTTTCTGAAGGCTGAGAAGAAATCCGCCCAAGAAAAGTGTATGATATATAGAATAGAATACAAGACGATGCGGGGATGAGAATAATCTGCTCAAGACTTGTACCCCTGGAGAGGAATTTCCCAGAGTTATAGGAAGAGATGTTTTCTTTCTTTCCCAAAGGTGTGGGGCTTGCTGTATCATGGCTATTGTGGAAATTTTGATCAATGGAGAAGGTTTTTCCCCCTGTTGGTCATGTCTCGGTTTATATATACATATATGACTGTGCCATCAGAACTCCGAGCTGCAAAGGCCATGGAGACGGAGGTCCCCAGCCTCGGGAGACAGCTCGAGTTCACCTTAGGCAGTATTCTCTCTACGGTCTCTACTCAAACCTCAAGAACTCCCTCATCAGTTTTTCCAACACTTATGTTCATAAACTTTTAGGGGTCGTTCTTAGAAAAGCTTCCATTACACTTGGCTCAACCTTCACTCATGGCGCCTGTCTACTGATTTACCAGACCATCTTACATCAATGCAGTGTTAAGGCTTAGGTTCAGTTACTGTTCTGGTTTTGTGGACTCCAAAGACAGACGAAAGAACATGCCCTCTAACAAAAGAACATGAAACAAGAGCATGAATGCCCTTTAACTGATCACTGTTCAAATTTAGACCGAAACCGAAACCAGAACTGGATGGAGATTTGGTTCTGTAAGCAGAAAGACGTCCGCTTATGATACATTTGGTCCAAATTTTGAAACCAAAGAGGGTGGTTATATAACCAACTTTCCGTTCCATCACCACATTTCAAGTAGTGAATGTTAATCTCTTCTTAGCGCTAAAGCGGTTGAGAAAAAGCCTGCAACTTCCAACAAAACTCTCTGATTCATTTACATGAACTAGTGCTACATCGATGAACAGCAGTGACCTTTTTCCCTTTATAGTTCCATCATTTGGGCCATTTGATGTTTCATTGCGGCATGTTTCCTTGTCTTGTTATATGTATCCCTTTATTTTACAAAAAAAAAAAAAAAGGAACAGCAATGAGACAATCTGAAGCAACAGACTCATTCCATGATGAAAAACGTTTGTGAAATGCTTCTCAGAAGATCATAAATACCGTTGTTACTTTATGTTCATGAAGTAAGGTTAGTGACGCCGAAGTAGAGAGTCTTCTGATTGAAAGCGTTGATGGCATAATCGACCTGGAGGTGACCCACTGGGGACTTGAACCGGATTCCATAACCGAATCCAAACCCGAATCCCGGTTTTCCCTGTCTCAGGGACGGGTTTCCTGCGATAATTCACCCGTTCATATCGGTTATTACTGCTGAATATAGCATCAAGGTATTACTAAAGATGTAACGCCATACAACTATGAGGAAATGATAAGGTTTGCATCCACATACAAATGTATCTTTTGGGTAGTTCCGGTTTGTATAAGAAACTCGAGAAAGTTTTTTATTAATACAAATTCATAATTCCACACACAAAAAAAAGTTGTATAAGGTTCTAGACAAAGACGAGAAAAGGTAGATTTTGGGGTGCGCATGGGTCATGTATCCGAGATTTTCGGGTTACCCAAATCCGAACCCGAAAATCTCGGATCTCACGAGATATTATCCAATCTCGGATCCGCTTTGGTCAGACATCTATTGGTCGAGTGTATGAGACAATTGTTGAATACCCGTGGGTATTCAAATGCGAATTTAAATATGAAATTTCAATTTTTTTCCAAATAAATATATTATTAGTTGACTTGGATCAGGTACCTAAAATTATTGGGTTATCCGAACTCGAAACCAAAATTTCAAAGGTAAGTTTGCATAAAATTTCTCTGAAACCCAGGGAAAAAATGTCATTTTATTATTCATTCGGGTAACCGCAGGTAATACCCAATCTCGGACCCAATTACCCAAACCGGAACCCGATATTTGGGGTTCCCTTACGCTATAATCCGATCTCATCTCATATAATGTTTGGGTACCCGTGTTTCAGGTTTTTTCGTCCAGCCCTGTTAGGTGGAAGAGCAAAAAAGCTTACCAGGGACAAGACGACCGGAACCTAAGTCAGTTCCACAATCCAAGAAGATGGTTCCTTCTGTCATCTTGTTCTGAAAACAAAAATCAGAACATGCAATGAGGAAAATTAATGTAAATAGTAATCTAAGACCAATTGTTATATCTCAACAACGGAGAATAACAACTACGAATCGTCACGATATACATACCAAAGGCAAAGCCAATTCGGTATTTCCTATAAGGCATGAACGCCCAGACCCGACAGCTCCCTCGCCGTAGCCACGAACACTGCCTAACCCACCAATGGTGAATGCTTGATAAGGAGCCATATCTCCTACAATGGAACCACCTGTCAGGCTGTCAGGAAAAGATTGTGAATCACCACACATATGATCGAACATCAATCTAACGCCTTGACGTGGTTGTCTGAACAAAATTTAGGTCTCATTACCTTGCTAAGAGAAAGGCTGGTCCCAGTTTGATACCCTTTGATGCAATAAACTTGAAACGGTTGAAGATAAGCCATTTAGACATTACTGGAATACCCTGTTCTATTTGCATGCTGAACTGAAAATATGAGAAATCGGTATAAGAAATCGTTAGAGAAATTATAGTGCACAGTGATTTTGGGATTTTCCCGCATCTGCATATGGTGTTAAAAGTATGAAGAGTATATTACATGAGAAAGCCCCTGATCGTTTGCTTTTGCGAACCGGGATTCTTGCTTTAAAACTACCATACTGTCATGGGAATTTCCACTGCACAGCAAAAGATTTTTACACCATGTAATAATCAGTTTTTTACCAGATATCATATTGCAAACAAAAACAAAAAATTTATGTTATTACCTGCAAGTTAGAGGAAATCCATCCAGATCTCTCGTTATCAGACGCCCATCATCATTTATTGGACGGACATGCTGCACCACAAGAAATTCATTCGACGAGAATATGAGTTGCTGAGGAAAGTATTCATTAGATTTTGTGGGTACCTCAAACTTTATACTGGTTGTGCTGCTCCACATTGAATGGGCTGGCTCACTCAAGTCCAATCCAACAGACAATTTGGATAAATTTACACCACCACTCCCGGAACGGGAGAAATTGTCAACCGGTGTGCCATGGACCCCGATCTCGGGCGAAAGAGAATGCTGTGCCAAGGTTTACAAGTTATAAACTGTTCAAACCTTGTTTCTCAGTTTAAGAAGCTCGGCCAACATTGCATAGAATTGACAAATTCACTTTCCTAAGTTCTTTTCCACAAATGTTAGATGTCCCAAACTATAATCACTAAGGCATTCAAAATTACTGCTTCTCTATTCTTTGCAAGAACAGTCCATGGCAAACATAACCAACAAAAAATGCAATAGGGTATGCCCATATTTAACCTTTTTTATGCATACCTGAATGAAGAAACACTGTTGCGGACGCCATTCAGGTCTAGGTCTCCTAAAGGCAACCAATACATTTGAATCATACAGTCCTTTATCCCACGACACATCAAGCTTCTCGCTTCCTCCAAACAGATTCGGATGCTTGACACAGAGACTGCATGAAACAAATTCAAAAGGAACTCTTAGGCCTTTGTTCCAATTCAAAAAGAAAGAGAAAAGCTCACATTTTAGACTTGCAGATACCATGAGGACCAGCAATATCTTCATTTTTTTGCTCAACAGATGAAACATTAAACAAAAATATAAGCCCTAACCTTACCTGCCAATCACTAGAGACAGAGGACTGCCAGCGTCCCTGTGAAAGTATCGCAGCATTGAGTTTAACAAATGCCCCCGAAAAGATGATTACATATAATGTAGATACAGGCATGGGTAATATATATACACATCTATGCATATAAGAATGCATGCTTGTGTTTATGTGGGTATCTGTAGATTTGGAGAATGTGTTAGAGCAGCAAACCTGAAAGAAGGAAGCATTAGAGAAGCACACAGCTTGTGAGTGAAATCCACATTAACATCAATCTTGGCTGCAATCAACAAGACAAGAAATTCGGAACCCATCATCACGAAATGAGCACTTAGGCAAGCAAAAACGTATCCGTCGAAATGGAAAACAACACCAAAAAACTCCAAGTTGTAGAAGATTCTAATCCATCATACATGTACAACTACAACACACAGCAACATATATACACATACATACATACATACATACATACATACATACATACATACATACATACATACATACATACATACATACATACATACATACATACATACATACATACATACATACATACATACATACATATAATTATAATTATATGTATGTATATTCAACAAGCTAGTTATCCATTGGCATGTAAGAATCAGCCACCCAATCCATTGCTCGAACTCTTGACTTACCACCAGCTTAATTGAGTAGTGGCAATCAAAGTTATACGAGAGACTGAAGAAAAGGCTCATCCCCTTGGGCGATGCAAGTTCAAATATAATAATTTTGGAATTAGCCATTTCTGCATATGAACCGAGGATTGACCGTACAATATCGAACAAACAGAACAACAATCAAACCCAAGTAGTGGAAGAGCCAATGCCGACATCTACAACACCGAGTCGTTCAATACAAGGGCACATACAGATGTATATAATCCGCGTGAGTGAGTGAGTGTGCGTGTATAGAAACGTAAATAGATGGGCATGGATAGAGAGCGACCTTTGCCTGCTTGGATGCTCTTCTGAGCTCCCATGGCGAGAGACGAAGATCAACCATGAAGAAAACCAAAGACGAGGATTTGCATAAGTGGTTTTTGTAAAGAGATGAATAACGAGGACGAAAAGGCGGCGAATCTTTCGTCTTCTTCCTCGATGGGGAAATTTTCTCCCAAGAGGGTTACGAATTGGATGCTTAGGATGTCTGGGGAAGGAAGAGAGTCTGTGCTTCTCTCTCTCTGTGACTTTAGATTTTGTTTTCCATATGGTTGGGCTTTGCGCACGTGGACGTGGGCCTTTGGAATGGATTATTTATTTATGTCTCCTCTTAAAAGTGATTCAAATTTCGATTTCCTTTGATACAATCTGCCTTTGTTACACATTTTCTTTTCTTTAGGAAAAAAATCACACTGATGCCCTAGGAATTTCGATTGCATTATTTTTATTTTTACATTCATTTTTTTAAATTTTTACAAAATTATATCTACTTCAGTTTTGATTCAATTGATTTTTTCAATTTAATTTAATTTTTATTAACAAAAAACACTTTTTTTTGGAAAAATTTATAAACAATTTATTATCAACACTCAAATTAATATAAAAATTTTAAATTTCTAAAAAAAATACACAGTTCTTTTTTCCATTCTCACTTAAAAATTAAAATCATAATTTTATAAACGTTTTTAAAAACTTATACGATCGTTTCTTTTTTTAACGTATACTTTTATGGAAATATTTTACAATTCCATGTATTTTTTAATAACCTTTGTAAAATTCATAATTTAATTAGATGTGAGTAGTATATTTAAAAAAAAATTATGTAAAATGATAATAAATTCCTGTATTTATATTCAATTCAATTTCTAAAAAACTTCAGTTACATAAATTGTATAAGATACAATTGTAGATTGATTCGGTTCAGTTTATATATATATATATGCAATTCAACACCCACCCTGACTTTACCTTTCCACCGTGTGTGTATATATTTCATATGAATAAGGCCTCCAATTGGTAATGAACCAAGAAACAGGCCTTTTAAAACCAAATGTTATATATATATTGAAGAACCAGTAATCAAGACATCTAATCACAATCATTGAGCATCATTCAAGGTTGGATTTGATGTTTGATTTAGGAGTACTAAGGAGCAAAATATAAGGAGAATCACATCTGGTCAATCACCATTTTATCAAGACAAGAATATAAAGAACTTACCGCCTTTACTCTCTCTAATCTAGCCGTTTAAATTATTCACATTTCGTATATATTTGAATGTAAATTCATAAGGAAAAAAATTACAAGAAATAATAGGGGACAATGTCCCCATTTACACAAAAACACACAACCATATCTTCTTCTTATTCCTATTTCGATTTCTCTTATTTCTTCACTTTATTCTCAACCTTCAAACATTCTTTATAAACACAAAAATCTACAATATATACGGAGCCAAAAATAAGATGGGAGAGTTAGTTTATTCTACTCTAAGACCAACAACTGAACCGAACTGATCTAAGTTCCCAAAAGGACAAAGATTGAGATCACATACTGAAACAAGTGAGAACAATGTACCTTGAAAGAGATATTCAAGCACAGACAGGCACAGATGTGCCTCTGCTCCTTCGAGATATGGTGAACAACATATGTCGTTTTTTCATGTCAGATCCATGTCAACTCTTCAATATGTCCTAACATTTTAGATGTTAGGTCTCGGTTCTCAATTTTAAAAGAACTTTCAGAGATCAACCTTTCTTTACCGGCCTTTGCATGTATGATTTGTTTGGATCCTCCGTCTTCAGCTTTGGAGGACGGGTTTCCTCCCCTTTTAGCCTGCAAATTCATACAGAACAAAATATTCCTCATTTAATCTGAACACCTTCTTCATGAATCTTATAAGTTTGACAAGTGAGTGATTCAGTACTCCTACCTTCTTTCCTCCTTTCATGAAATCTCTCCAGCTTGATACCTGGGTGGACAAGAATCCGAAACGATATTAGAGCATAACTAGATAGATGAAATCAAGCTCTGTGCACTTAATCGTATAGCCAATTACCACTCTTCCTCCTCGGGAAAAAATAATATAATGGTGTTGCATATATTATTCTTACTAGAAAGAAACAGAAGGTAATATATGCGGTAAAGTTCACTACTTGAAATCAGGAACATACTCTAATATTGAGTAAATAATAATACAACAGACCCTTTTTTCTCTTGTCCCTTCCCATTGCTCTTCATGTTCACGCTTTTTCTTCCACAACTCTTTTTGTTCCTCTTCATCCTTCTTGAGTCTTCCCTCTTCCTCAGATATCTAAATTTCAACAAGCAATACAGTATAAACGGAAGAAAGGACTATGCAACTACTCAATGAAAAAATAAACCACACAGGGCATACTAGAAAGTAGAAACACTTCATACCCTCAATGCCATTTTTCTCTTGCGCCACTCTTGTTCCGTTAATATTTCTCGTACCTTCAATTTAAGCTCCTGTTGAAACTCTTCAGACATTTCATATTGTTGCTCATGGTTTTCCTGTGTGCAGTGTGCATCAGAAACACATGAATCAAGGTGCTTCCTGATGCACAAAACTTAACTGTAGAGAAAAGAATAAGAGAAAGAAGATTGATATCTATCGTTAAGAAGCATGAGAATATAAACCATTTCTTTAAGCTTTACAGTAATATCAAAACATAATGTAGAAACAGACTGAAGACAATGAGGGTAATCATTCAACAGCTATTCCCCTCAGTTAACACTAATTTTTAGAAAAATGAGATAGATATTCTACAACCATGTTTGACCAGAATAACATTTCATGGACAAATAACAGACACTTGAAGTCTCAGTCAGCAAAGAAAACACTACAGAAATCACATCAAAAAACCAACATGGACTGTTTCCATTGAAGAAAGGCTGGTTGAAACTCATACAACGCCCTATTGGATCCCAACACAAAATGCATCTCGCAATTGCTTACCTCATCCACCATGGACTTTATTTTAGAAGCGGTATCTTTCTTCAGCTGTTTCTTTCTCTTCAGTCCAAGCTCCTCTGCATTTCACAGTCAGACAAATAAAACTTGTTCAGAGAGAGAATATGGAAGGTAACAGTACAGACTATGATACAATTTCCAAATGCAGAAGAAACAAACTTTCAAAATGCAATTGCTATTTTCCGATTTCCCCCGACGAGATCTTAACAAGTCCAGAAGCCTTCCAAACAGGAGATATCAGAACTCTGTAGCACCATAAATAACTACTTTTTGCAGCACTGACTTGAGTGAGAATATATTCTCTTTCTTGGTCATTCAATAGCAGTTGTTGTGTTTTCGCCAGAGCTGCACAAGGAGCCCAAAAACTATAAACATGAGCAGTTTAGCCAGACCAATCAATTGACAAGGACCACCTACTGTTGCATGCCTTGACGCAAACAATCGGACGGGCTGATTTGAAAAAGAATGATAAATCTAAGACAAGAGACAAAAGGAATGCTTAAGAATAATGACCTCCAAAAGACTCTTTAGCTTGTGGATGCTTGCATTTGTCACGGTGAACCATCAGTGACAACTGCAAAGTGACAGCATCAGGCACAAATGAAATCCCAGTCCACACTGCCGAAACTATCCCATTCATACTGCCGAAACTATCCCCAGCTAAAGCTAGCAAACCAAGATGGGAAAATACGCCTTCCAATGAATTTGGCAGAAGAGAGCGTACCTTTCAGTACTGCTTTTTAACGTCATCTAAAGAAGCATCAAATGGAAGCTTAAGGTGCTCGAATGGGTTCAGCTTGAAGCATGAGAGAATCCTACAATTTTTTTAGATTTGAAGATGAGAAGACAAGATACACTAGCAAAAAGGACACAAGATTCATGACTACGACATTAGTGTACAGGCGCCAGCAAACACGATTCGAAAAGTGGAGACGAGTTTACCATCGCGCAGGAAAGCTCTGTAGCGTTAATTATCATATAAACCAGTAACTATGAAGGTATGCTCAGAGATGTGTGTATGCGGCTCAAAGATCTCAATTGTATTGCAGAGAGTTTATATACAGAGGTTTACAAGAGATGATGAAACCTAGTGAAAAGAGAAAATTACAGACATGGCAAGGTCAAATATATGCAGATATACTTCTTTCCTTATACGCCCCCTCAAGATGGCGCACCATCGGTGAGGCCAATCTTGTCACAGAGCTCAGTAAATGCATGACGAGGCAGTGGTTTTGTGAGAGCGTCGGCTAGTTGGTCTTTGGAGCTAATATGGGAAACGCGGAGAGTTCCATTCTGAATCTGTCCCCGCACAAAAAGATAATCCAGAGCAAGGTGCTTCATTCTGGAGTGAAAAACTGGGTTTGCGCTGAGATAAGTTGCGCCTAGGTTGTCACAGTAGATCGCAGGGGTGTCCAAGGGCCTAACACCGAGTTCAGCAAGGAGATTGACTAGCCATTGAATTTCAGCTGATGTATTCGCTACAGATCGATACTCTGCTTCGGTAGATGACCGGGAAATCGAGCTTTGTTTCTTGGATGACCATGATATCGGATGGTGACCAAGGTAGACGATATAGGCGCCTGTAGATTTGAAGTCAGATTTATCACCAGCCCAATCAGCGTCACTGAAAGCATGGAGATGAAGAGTATTATTTGCAGCAAGATAGATTCCCCTGTTCTTGGTTCCGACGAGATAGCGGAGGAGTCTCTTGACTGCCAACCAATGGGCGTCAGTAGGCTGATGCATGTACTGTGATAGTCGATTCACAACGAAGTTGATGTCGGGTCTAGTGAGGGAGAGATATTGGAGGCTGCCAAGAATCTGCCGAAACTCTTATGGTTCAGCTAGCGGTGTACCCGTCGAGACTGTCAGTTTAATAGATGAAGACATGGGAGTGGCCACTGCATTGGCTTCGTGCATATTGGTTCGACGGAGCAGGTCACTGATGTACTTTCTCTGAGAAAGGAATAAACCAGATTTTGTTCGTGTTGCTTCCACTCCGAGGAAGAAGGAGAGCGGGCCAAGGTCCTTGAGTGAGAAGCGTAAGGCGAGGGACTCAATGAACTGCTGGATTTGATCTGGTTTGCTCCCAGTAATTAAGAGATCATCCACATATATCAATACCACAAGTTGAGTGTCGGCCGTGGTAAGAGTGAAGAGACTCGCATCAGCCATGGAATTGGTGAAACCACAGCCAAGTAGATGGGTACGTAACTCAGAGTACCAAGCCCGGGGAGCCTGTTTAAG